ATTATTAATTTCAAAATAATCAAAATACGCGACTTTAACTACTCTAACGGCCGATTCCACCGTTGTGTTAAACTAAGTTTAAATTACTAAATGAAGAATAAAATGACATTGTTAATGTAAAAATATCATTTTAATCTTAGTTTAGTAATTTAAACTTCGTTTAACACAACGGTTGAATCGGCCCTAGGTCGTCATTTTGATTTCACTTTTCTAGCACTCCAAACTCCAAGTGCGTCCACTTGTCATATCGCAAAATAGTGTTTATGTCGTCCCTACGAGAGATTATCTGGTCCCTACTTTATTCTATCTCGTTGATTCAAGCCGATTTTCATATGTCTAGTCAACCAATTCTAATGTGTCTAGTCAACCAATTTTCATGTGTCTAGTCAACCAATTTTCATGTGTATAGTCAACCAAATATTTAATTGAAAACCAAATTCCTTATTAACTAGTCTATTGTTAAACGTGAGAATTTTCCAAAGTCAATTTCCCTAAAATAAGATGGAATTTTGTAAATAAATGCTTTAAAGGTATGTATTAAACGATTATTAATTCTAGAGATACTAATTTGGTGTCCACCTTATCGAGACCCATGGGAAACCTCGTAGCATAAAATAAGCGAGAAACTATTTGATTTAAAACGAAAGAATGAAAGACGATGATAAGTATTAAGACATTGAATTTTCAGGTTTGTGAAGCACTAACGTTACTTAGGCTAAAATATGTAGGTAATATTCACTTTATAGCTCTAGTTTTTAAGAACCATTCCGACTCAGATCAGTTTTGTTTTCGTTTATAAATACGGACCTCAGTTGTTTTGTCGACGATGCGTCGCTCGACGAAAAGCATCAATGAACTGGAGTGGGGTAGAAAGCCAATGTGCATATTGTATCAATAGAACAAGATGCGACTCTATGGGCGCAGCCATTTTTATTTCTCATCTCACTCGGGAGTATTTATAATAACCATTTTCTGTTTCACATTGTTATTGTTCAATCCACAAGCTGGTGGATCAGACAATAACAAAGTTAAATAGAAAATGGTTGTTATAAATACTCCCGAGTGAGATAAAAAATAACCCGTCTTCGCCCATAGAGTCGCATCTCAAGCCTATTGACAAGCATTCTACCCCACTCCAGTTCATTGAAAAGCTATCGCATCTCCACGCTCGCCGCTTCTACTCTGAACAAGGCTTTAAGGATTAGTAAGCCTAGACATTTTTACCAGTGACGGCTCTGGACGAAAATATTGGGCCTTCAAAATGATAGAATAATATAGAAATCAGTACAGATTTAGAAAAAAAATTCAGTGTTTATGATATACCTTTCTAAAACACAGAAAGTTTTTTTACCTAAATCTGTTCTGAGATCTATATTATGTCAATGTGGACTCCCAATATTTTTGTCAAAATCCGCCAGTGAGTTTTATTCAAACCTAAACATTAAGTTCATATAAATATTTGTTCTTATAAATCATTTATTCATGTAGGTATGTACCTAAAATTTGATCGTTTAATACAGACAATTAATAACAAAATTATTAGGAGGTGCAATTAAAGTACATTGAGTATGTACTATTTTGTATGAAAAATTCTAGTAAATCTAGATTGTGTGTTTAAAATTTGTACGATTTTACAGCGCAACAATGTAATAATCGAATTTTTTCGAAAATATTTTTGTAAATGAAAAAAGCTTTCTAACTGTTTTATAAACATAATATATACATTTTTCTTCTAACAATGTCTTTTTTCACAATTGATAACCAAATATGTAACTACTTAAATGCTGTTTAACTTGTTAATGCCTGATATCTGAATGTATTTTTTAAATAGTTTATGGTGTATATTTTATATATAAATAAATACTCCTCACAAATAAAAACGTTAAAAAATATGTATTGACTATAAGATATGCTTTTTGCAGAATTTTCTAAAATCATTTTACACAAAAATAAAATTTATGGTATAACTGTATATCAAATATACATATTTATAGAAAAAAAAATCAGATTTTGAATTGTTACCTAACTGTAAACTCGTTTAAACATATTTAAATATGACAAAATGAATCGTTAAACAACATATTTTTTATATCACCCGATGAATGCAGTAATTCTTGATTTTAGCTACCTATATTGTTTGCCATTAATTACTAAAAAATGGGGGAAACCCCAAACAAACATAAAATATGTATGGATATTAGTGTACCTTGTTATAAAAATATGAATGTTGATTGATTTATTTTAGTTCAACTTGCACTTGATCTGTAAAACTTTCACAAAATATAGAATTTATTTTTATTACTTGTTAAAAAAAAATTAAAACTTATATTCGTATAAAATTCGAAAATAAATTCCCGAAAGAGCCTCTGAGAGTAACTACAAAGTTTTAGTAATTGATTTTATTTATTTTATATATACTTTTGTCTTTAAAAAATTGTCTAATATATTTTATTGTAAAAAGCTGTGTAGATTTTTAAAATGATATTTTAATATTAATAAGTGCAAATATAGTAATTTGTAACATTAATGTAAAACATTTATGCACAACTATAGCAACAGCATTTTATTTCTATGATTTTTTAGTAGTAAATTGCAAGTAAATTAAATTACAAGTAAATTACAAGTAAATTACAAGTAAATTACAAGTAAATTACAAGTAAATTACAAGTAAATTACAAGTAAATTACAAGTAAATTACAAGTAAATTACAAGTAAATTACAAGTAAATTACAAGTAAATTACAAGTAAATTACAAGTAAATTACAAGTAAATTACAAGTAAATTACAAGTAAATTACAAGTAAATTACAAGTAAATTACAAGTAAATTACAAGTAAATTACAAGTAAATTACAAGTAAATTACAAGTAAATTACAAGTAAATTACAAGTAAATTACAAGTAAATTACAAGTAAATTACAAGTAAATTACAAGTAAATTACAAGTAAATTACAAGTAAATTACAAGTAAATTACAAGTAAATTACAAGTAAATTACAAGTAAATTACAAGTAAATTACAAGTAAATTACAAGTAAATTACAAGTAAATTACAAGTAAATTACAAGTAAATTACAAGTAAATTACAAGTAAATTACAAGTAAATTACAAGTAAATTACAAGTAAATTACAAGTAAATTACAAGCAAATTACAAGTAAATTACAAGTAAATTACAAGTAAATTACAAGTAAATTACAAGTAAATTACAAGTAAATTACAAGTAAATTACAAGTAAATTACAAGTAAATTACAAGTAAATTACAAGTAAATTACAAGTAAATTACAAGTAAATTACAAGTAAATTACAAGTAAATTACAAGTAAATTACAAGTAAATTACAAGTAAATTACAAGTAAATTGCAAGTAAATTACAAGTAAATTACAAGTAAATTACAAGTAAATTGCAAGTAAATTACAAGTAAATTACAAGTAAATTACAAGTAAATTACAAGTAAATTACAAGTAAATTACAAGTAAATTACAAGTAAATTACAAGTAAATTACAAGTAAATTAATATACCAGTAAATCAATAAAATCTTCAATTATGATAAATTACAAAAATATCCAGTCGATATTAAAAATTTCGAGTAGTTTACTCATAAAAAAATGTATTTTAATTAATAATTCTTGCTTTTTATTTATCAGCTAAATACTAACTTTCTAGAAAATCTATGGAAATCTGAAATTTTACAATTTTAAAAATTAATAATTTTTCATAGTGATTTTCTTGTTTTAATTAAAAACAAACTCTCGTATAATTTTATAACTACTCTCCATTGATGTTAAATATATTTCTGATATATTTCACGTAAATGTTATTTATAAAAATTGTAAATTTGCGTTATTGGATAAATGTACAATTATTAATAAAGTTAAAAATAGTGTTATAATATTTTATATTTGTAATGACTGTATTATTTGTTAGAAATTAAATATAAATAAAAATTGTTTTTGCTTTATTCTCTGTTACCCCTAAAGATACCTGTTTACTCTCAACAAATATTTTAGATATGCGAAATAGTAGCCAGAGCTAGTCACATGCTGACTGGAAAGTATGAATGATATGAAATGATTTAAAAATCAAAGTGTACAATCTCCAATGGTTTTTTTGTTGTTAGTTTTGAATTATTTCAAAGCCTGCAAAATCCTGTACAAACTTGTCAATAATATTTCGCGCTAAAACCATTCTGATTTTACGTTTCTAAATTAGTTGCATGTGATTCGTGAAGCAGTAAAGTTTGTTTACTAGTTTCTTCCTATTTTTCACAAGTTTTTTAAAGTAATAATGGAGGTGAACGTTACTCCAGTAACCAGTAATAAAGCAAGAAAAAGACAACGTATTACGTCATTGTGTGTGTCATTTTGAACCCCCAATATTTTGAATACAAGCCGCCATTGGTTTAAAATAATTGTTACAGGGTGCTTCACGAATAAATCACAATATGTTTTTGACAACACTCAATAACTACAGTTGCGGTACAGAGAAATTATTTTAATGAGTCAATATATTTTTATACAGGATGAACCATCCAGCTAACCACCAAAAAGATAATTATGTTTTGAAATTATTAAAAAGACAACCTTGCATTTCTTAAGTGACTTTTGAGTAAGTTTATAACATTATATTAGGTGTGTAACCATAAGATTTTAACAAATACATGGTAATCTGTTTCTATTAAAAAACCCTGTATAAGAAATGTGTACCTACTGTATAATATTTTATTGCCAAAATACTATATTGTATAGTATTTTTTAAAAATATGCTTCCCTGAAGTCACAGTAAAATTAGTAACATTTTAAAAAACTAAAAATATTTTTAATTGTACACACCATGAACCCTAAAAGAACACCTCGAAAACTTAAGCGTTTTAGTGATGACGTAAATTACTGATGACGTATTCATGAAAAATCCTTTTCATATTTTAAAATATTTCAACTTTAAAAAATGCCTCAAGAAAACGTCAAATATCAACGACACATGTCAATGTCATTATAACTGACATAAATGTCAAAAATAGATTTTTGTTTACTTTTGTAAAAATGTGTATTTTTTAATTTCCAAATAAAAATAAACCATGAATAACGTCTGTAGGACATGTCTGAGCACTGCAAATTTATCCCCTCTTAAAGAGGACGAGAGTCTGCTAGATAAAATAGAATTAATATCCTCCATACGTGTAAGTACAGCTTACAATCTTTATTTTATAAATAAATAAAATTACTTGTAGATTTCGTTAGATATTGCTGATTATCCTACTACAATATGTGACGAGTGTATAGATAAATTGAATCAATTCTACTGCTTTAGAAAAGTAATTATAAACACGGATAATGAATTAAAAGAAAAGATCGAATGTTTAACTTCCAAAGCTCCTGAGAAGAAACTTCCAAGTACAAAAAGAAAACGAACATGTGATAAATCTATAAAAACTAAAACGCCTAGGAATAGAAGGAGAATCAATGTTATACCAACTTCTAACCCAAAGGATGACATAAAGACTGAACCAGCAGAAAATGACTCATACATAGGCAGACTTGTTATTTGCGAACCAGAAAATATTAAAGATGATAAAACTGTGAAACAAGAAACAAATCGAGATGAAGTTACAGATCAAACTTTAGATTGTGTACAATGTAATTTAACATTTGTTTCTGAAAAAGAATTTAATATTCATAAAAACTCTACTCATAGAAAATATAACAAAAAACCAAAAACCTTAGAATGCCCAGAGTGTAACGTAACATTTAGTAATCTAAATCAACTGTCCAATCACAAAAGAACCACACACACAGCACCAGGTAAACATTTTACATGTTATTTGAACTTCCTTACTTTAAAAGTAGAACCCAGAGTAAAATTAAATATTAAGGTATCAAATGAAGTACCTCAAGGTTCAGTCCTCGGATCTTTACCATTTTATTTATATATTTCTGATTTTCAGTCATCAAAAAGTGTGGCTGTTATACAAATATATTTGGCCTTTCCTTTTAATGCTTCAATAAGCTCTCAAAACAAAATTAATACCGATTTAGATTCTGTATTTAACCTTTCTTCAACTCATAACTTAAATTAGATTCAGAACAATGTGTTGTAATGACTCTGTCAAAAAAATGTCATGATCTTTGTAACACCATAAAAATTAACATCCAATAAAATGTTTTACAATTAGTGGAGGAATATAAAAATTTAAGAGTCTGGATCAATTCTAATCTCAGATTTTCTGGACATAAGAGTCATTTATGTCAAACTTCATACAATTTTCTTGGACAACTTTTCCTAAACAGATTTTTTGTCATCAAATTTAAAATTGAAGCTTTGTGAATCTTTTATCATCTCTAAAATTTCCTCGATACAGTTTATGGCTCTCTCTGCACACAATTATCATGACTCTCAACGATTACAGAAGATTCAAAATTCTTGTTCCTTTGATGTTCCTAAAGGTTGATAACATTTCTCATAAATTCTAGAAGCTAAATGGCTAAGCCTCAATTCCTTGAGGAAATTACATATGCTGTGTATTATGCACAAAATTCATCTCAATAGAAACATAATATATTTTGCACAATATAATTTTCCTCCAGGTAGTTCCTAAGCAAAAAAAACAATTTTTAAAATAAATTTCTTATATTGCTGTCTAACAAGTTACCTGCTGATTTTAGTTCATACACATTAGTAAATTAAGAAGAAAAAAAAAGACTTAAAAATGATTTGTATCAGACAACTCATTTTCAATTTATTTATTTTTTTAATTTTTGTCATGGTAAAATTTTTATTATTGTTAAAGATAAGTTGAAAAACAACCCAGGCTGAACTTCACCATTTCGCAATCAATTATTAATAATGTTAAATTGTATTTCGATAATGTATTTATGTTTTTACTTTAAATGTTGTTTTTGTGATTATGAATAAAGCAGATTTATTATTATTCTTTGAGCTACATCAAAATAAGGTTAGAATAAGTTCTATATTATAGTAACTCTTAAGTATTTATTTTAGGTATCTGCAATATATGCGGGGTTATTGTTAGGGCCGATAACTTGAAAAAACATGTTCAAAAACACTCAGAGGGGCCTGTATCTTGTAAAATTTGTTCCAAAGTATTGAAAAATTCCGAATCACTCAGGGGCCACCTGTTAATACACAAAGGAACTTCATATGAATGTGACCAATGTGAAAAGACATTTAGACTGAAATCAGAATATCATAGACATTTAAAAAAACATATAGGTATATTTTCATAAAATTGTGTGATGTTCAAATAAATATATAATTTTTTTTAGATCCTAACGTTCGTAAGAAAATGTGTACAATATGTGGCAAGCATGTCAGAGATCTACAAAGACATTTGTTTACTCATACAGGGGAGCGTCCTTATATTTGTAGCCATTGTAATAAAGGTCTAACTAGTTCTTATGCTCTAAAATTACACATCAGACAACATACAAATGAAAAACCATATATTTGTGAATACTGTAGTAAAGCATTTGCCCAAAAAATTTCACTAGTAGCACATCATAAGTCTAAGATTCATAACTGTCAGGTTTAGTTATTTTTTTGTTATACATTTTTAGCTTAGTGTAAAAGTTTTATCAATTTTGTTTTACTGGTAATGGATATTTTCACCCCATAATTGATTTTAAAAAGCTTAAACAAAATGTCAAATCCTATTTAAAAATTCAAAACCAGTGAAAACATTTTAATATATTTTTCCAGTATTTATCTTTACCATGTGAATTGTACATACTGTATTAGATATTTTGAAGTTATATGAAATATTTTGTTAAATTGTTTATAAAAATTTGTTAAATATTTTGTGAATTTAAAAAAGATTTTTTTAATGTATAATAAATTTTAATTTAAAATATGAATACAATTTAAAAACTTACCTTAAGTGACAACATAATTCAAAACAATATAGGGGAACAAAATGCTGATGTAAGTAGAATATAGATATTTAGATAAAACATGATTTCAATAAAAGTATTTATTTCTTTAATACTTATATCAACATAATTTTAATATTATACAAAAAAAGTTAAAGCATCAATAATAATTATCTACAAAATAAATCCCCTAAAACTGCAAATACCAGGATTCCAGAAAAGAGTCACAATTTAAAAATATATCATCTACATATATACAAAAATAAAGTTAAATTCACTAGATAGGCTTATAAAGCAAAGTGGTAACATATTTCTTCCTGTATCTATGGGTGGCACTCAAAACCATAACTCCATCTTTAATTGACAAGGCATATAGATGATTTAACATGACATGGTTTGGTTCTGGCAGCAGTGTGGGCTCACACTAAAATATAAAATAATTAATTTTAACAGACAGGTAAAAAACTAAAAATAAATTCCTTTACAACCAAGATTTGGAAACAAAAAAATCTTACTGATAATGGCGTGTCCTTGTTCAGTATAACTTGCAGCAAATGAGGTGGCAAAATGGGTGGCCCATTTGGCTTTTCCCATGGCTTATTTGGAGGTATTTCTTGCCCAAATTCTTTCTGTGAATCATCTTTTGCATTTTCACTATCTTTGTCTAAAGCTTCAAACACCTAAAAAATTAACCATTTATAAATATATAAGTTTTTTAAAGATAAATGGGTTTGTATCAATAAAATGAACTGAATCAGAAATTTATAGTTTTGTTAGAATCTGATGATGAATCTCACATTCAAACACTCGGGAATGCAGTAAAGAACATAGGCTATATATGAGAGACCCATGAAAACACAAGCACAAAATGTGCCCTTTGTGGGGTCAGTCGCCTAAAAAAACTCACTGATTTAGAATCAATGACACATTTTTACTTTCCTGTCTGTATACAGATAATGAAAAGTATAGAAATAATGATTTTTAATAATATCAGAGAACTCATTCCATGCTAAGACACTTTATCGAGGGCCACAAGGCAGGACTTTATAAGTCTCAAAATCAACATTTTTCAGGAGATGAAAAAACGATTCGCATGTGCATAGAACAATACATTTTGCTCTATAATAGGACTAATATTTACCCAAGTTTTGCACGAAAATTGTAATACTTCCCCTTCACAGTAGATGTAGCAAAATGTTTTAAACGAGATTAACATAAAATTTTTAGTGGAAATGTTATATAGAAAGCACCTCACTTCACACTAATGAAATATGGAAATATCGAGTTATAAGTATAAAAAAAAAATTGTAAAGTTTGACAGCACTGTTATGTCTGGGTACAATGCATTAAATTTTACAACAGGGAAACACAGGTGAGTTGGAGATACACGTAAACGATCATTTTACAAACGTTTTGATGCTATTATTTATAATAAAGTCCAAGGAATTTACTAGATTGATAATCTAAACAAATTAAATGTTTTCTGATAGACTGAAAATTTTTTTTACAGAAATTTTAGGAGTGGGCCATATCTTTTGTTTCATTTTTAAGTCGACATCACGAAGTAAAGTTTGAGAAAGTTTTACAAAATAATTGAAAATATAAAGTTGATGAAAATGTATCATCGGTACAATATGAGGGTTGTAGCCCTAATTATGCAGAATTTTATGCGATTTTAAATTAATCTGAAATGTTAATGGAGTTTTTCTATAAGCATGGGGTACGTTCAAAGTGTGAAACAGTGATAAAACTAGTTAATAATCAGGAATAAATTGCATTCCAGTGTCAAAGGATCAATAATAAAAAGAATAAACAAAAATGTTTAAATTATATTAGCTTTCATAATACTTTTTTAAGCTATTGTATAGCTTTTATCGCGGGCTTTGAGCGCGGCGACCGAATAAAGAAATTCCGTAACGAAAATAAACCTAACACCCCCCACTCCGACCGGTGCGGCGTTGAAAGCCGTAGGTTTTATCTGACCCTATTCGTATTAGTATGAAGCGGAGTTAAATATACGTCTGCGGACTGGAACGTTTATGTAATACAAGAACTAGAAGAGCTTTCTCTGGCTTCTAATAAATTGGTATCACACATGTTCCCGGCTGGCGTAAATATTAGATATTAATTTTTTTTGAAAGATTTTTAAAATATTAATTTTTATTTTATCAGTGTTAACTATTTCATTATTAAGCTATTGCATAGATTTTATCGCGGGCTTTGAGCGCGGCGACCGAATCAAGAAATTCCGTAACGAAAATAAACCTAATACCCTCGAAAAACCGAAAAAGAAATTCCGTAGCGGAAATAAACCTAACACTCTCCCACTCCGACCACCATTGACGCGGTATTTTCCAGATAATTAGAGGATATCAAGTCTCAAACTTATGTTTCTTATTTCAGATAAAAATTCCTGAATAACCTACATGTATTGTAAGATAATAAAAATATTTCAAACAATATTAACTTCTCATTTATTCAATAAAAGAAAAAAATTTGTTTTCTTATCGGTCACCACGCTCAAAAAGTGTAACTTGAATTAATATCAAAGAAAAAACTTCAATTAATATCAAAGAAAAAAAATACTGCATAAATAAAATAAATAATTATGATTGCATAAGTTGATAAAAAATGCTATGCAATAGCTTTACCGCCACAGTCCCCAAGTGCCACATGTATTTTTTTTTGTATATATTTGAGTCCAGCTGCAGAATTAATGTTTCTGTTTATAACAAGACCACCATCATGTGTTTTATTTATTATAAGAGAACTAGGAATAGCTTTTCAGACAAATGTGTATTAGTTATTAGATAGGTGTTTCTTTATTGGGGTGTTCAAAATACTGAAGTTACTGGAGAAGGTAAAATAGTTGAAAGTGATGAGACAAAAATAGGAAAAAGAAAATATAATAAGGGTTGCCATTTAGGACAGTGTGTATTTGGTGGGATAGAAAGGGTAGGAGCATTTTTTTTTCATTTAAAATTTGAAATGTAATAAAATTAGAGCAGGGCAATTTATAGCGACCTGTGGCAAGCCTATTAGGCACTGAAGGAGGAAAATTATGAACACCTAATTGTTAATCAATCAGTAAATTTTGTTGATCTTGTTACCAGAATATACAAAATATTGAGAGGACCTGGGTGGAAATATAATTCATTTAGATTTTTCCTTGCCCTGACAAAATTAAAAATCAAGTAGATATGGATGTTGTTTTACCCACTCAGCAGCCCCCATTCCTTCCATTTCTCAAAAATGTGTTAATATTAATTCAAAAAAAACTGTAGAAATATTAGGACACTCTTAACAAAGCTTTGCACTCCCTATTTACTCCCCATTACAGAAGTTTGTTAATATTCATTAGCACAAACTTTCAATTTTTCTTTATAATGATGATTTACATGTTTCACAAAAAAAATACATAAAATTTGAGAAGAGGTCAAACTACTTATTTACAAAAAATATGTATGATACTTATTAATTATCAAATTAAAAGAGAAGTTAATTAATACTTAAAAACAAATCATTAACCTACTTCCATATCAGATTTCTTGACAATAATTAGATTATTTTTAGCACCTCCATCATCTTCCACAATTTTATTTCCAGGATCGTTTTTCCATTCGCCATCAACAAAAAACTTGTACTGATGTTCCCCTTCTGGAAGATCAATTATGGCCACGAAATCTCCATAACTTTTTACCATTGGTATGGTCTCCCAGTTAGAAAAAGTACCACAAATACAAACATCTCTGCCACCTCCTTCCCAGCGAAAAACTGTTGGAGTTTTTGACGTATTTCTAGTTGGTTGAGTACCTTCAGAAACTATAAAAAAAAATAATGACATCATGAATCTTTATCTCGACATTTCAATTAGATGAATATCACTTATAGATTACATTTACAGTTCAATTTTACCTGTATTTGCTCTTGGTCGAGGTAGATCATATGCTAACGCAGGTTTTGTAAAATAAGGCTCCTCTTCATCTTGAGAACCTTGAAGTTGTAATTTATTTTCTGGCTTTTTGTCGAACGTAAATGCTTGTCCTTCTTTCGAAGGCGATGCCGGGGCTGTTTCGCCTAATTTCTGACGCTCCCGTGGGGCTCCACCACTTCCTGCATTACCCATTTTTATAAAATTAACTCATTTTCTGATTCCAAAATCCAAAACAGTATTTACATCTCCACGTTCAGTGTCAGTATTCAGTCACGATTTTTGACTTGGACACTTTTGACAAATGACAGTTGAAACATTTTTTGATGACTAACCTTTGAAATCAAAGGTGCTTTTTGCAAAATAAATTATATTTAAATGCCTTTGTCAACATTCTATTTTAAGTTTTAAAAGTTTACCGATTTATTTTTTGGATTTTTGATCAGTTTGTGTTCTTTTAACTTTAATTAATGGAATTATTTTTTCAATAAACGCTTCAAAAATATGCCTTATTTTTTTCAAATTCTAGTGATGGGAAGACCCGGTTCATCTTGACGACCCGGGTCAGACAAGGTCAATCATTTGAATGACCCGTTCACAAAGATTCGTTCATATGAACGATATGATCAGTGAATAAGAATTTATACATCGCCTATGATTTGCACAGTACGCGCTGATGGTAAGTCTGTGATGGTAAGACTCTGTCGGCTCTTTTTATGAACCGGATCATAATGGTTACAGTCTCGTCTCATCTCAGTTTATTGTTAAACATTCGTAATTCGTAACAGATATAGATGGATACAGATTTATGATTATGACTATGACTATATTATATTATGAAGCCTTGGTACTTTTTACTTCTTTCTCGTTTCAGTGTTTAATCGATCGCGATCACGAATCACTACCACGTCATCACGATCATCGTTCACTACATTACATTTTCAGTCATTCATTATATTCTGTTCAGTCACCAATCAACCGGTGAAAAAACAGCTCTTCAATACATAAGCACATTAAAAATCTCATAAATAAACAGGGTCATATGAACGATAGGGTCACGAAGAGTGATTGAATCGATCACGGGTCTTCGGGATGATTCGTTCTTTTTGAACGGGTCGTTCATGAACGACACATCGCTATCAAATTCACTTTCATAAAATTGTTATGTTATGATAATTTTGTTTTATACAGGTACTTTATAAAAAAAATATGGTTTTAAATGATATAAAATGGAAAATCTATTAACATGTGGTGACCTTGCACATTAATCAGTTTGTGGAGGGTTTCAAAGTTCTAAAATAAAAGTGAAGGCTTTTTTATTCATATCAAATGATAAAAAATGTTGATGCTAGGCTAGGAGTTATGAAATGAGTGCCTACTTTTAAATTGAGCAATTAAATTATCTATTTGATTGTTAAATTACAATATAACAGCCAACTTATAAATTAAACGTTTATGGTATAAATAATTGAAGAAAATGGAAACAAATACTAAAAAAATTGATGAAATTAGTATACCTGTACCCTGGGGCCATGTAGCAGGTAACATTGCATTCAAAGTCTTCTTAATTACATTTTACTTACACTAATGGTATTTTAAACAATAAGATTTAATTTTTCAATCAATATAATATGATACCAGAATAACAATAAATACAAATTTATCTCAAAACCGTAAATAGCTATCTGGAAAATTGATAAGTTGGGTCAATAACTTGTAAACAAGCCACTCATACTATTGTTAATTATTGGTGTATTGATTCAAAAAGATACAGTCAATTTGTGCAATTACAATAATTTGATTGGGTATTCTAAAATACATATTTTTCTATGAGGGGTAAACCGCTGGAAAAATTTTGTACACTACACCTTTTCCAATTGTAGTTCAAAATGTGCCAATTGTATTTCTAAATAGTCATTTGATTATCGAAAAGTATTTGAATTTCCAAATAACTACTTGAATTTGTATTTCCAAAAGCGTAAATTTAATTTCAAAAATTATCAATTGTATTTCAAACTTGTAATTTTAATTTCCAAAAGTATCAAATGTATTTTGAAATAATCAAATTAATTTCAATTTTCAAAATATATCAAATGTATTTCATAAAGTATCATTTTTAAAAAAATTACACATAAATAAGGTTTGTATCCTACTCTTATAAGTGATTGATATGTTAATCAACCTGTTGGAATGCTTTTGGCTTCTGTCAATTTGACATAATGTGATTACATTTACTGTGTAGAAAGAATAATTTCACAGGTCAATTTTTAATTTCAACTGCACGTCTTATGCTACAATTAGGCATTCCAACGACCTGTCAAACATTATGTGCCAGTGGGAAATTCTTGTATATCTAAGGGGGGTAGCGACATAGTCTTGCAACTTGGACGCTATTTTTATTCGAAGTTGTAGTCGCCAAGCCTGTCAATTTATGAAGAAATGTATAGGTAGGTTTTTTAAATATTATTTTTATTGTGTTTGACATAAAATATTTAAATGTAATCCATTATTCATGATTTTACGTAAAGTAGAAAGAATACACCATATGTCGCCACCCTTAGATATACCAAACCTGCCCACTGGTAATTCATTTGTTTGGAATGCCTAATTGGATGTACTAATGACATTACCACTTTCATGTACATGACGTCATTGATTCTTTTTTAAATAGAACAACATATTTTTCTCTTTATTTTTTAATTCCTCAATAATGGACAATTACAAATATGTATGTAACATTTAAGGTCCTAAGTCATGTTAAAAAAAAGAAAACAATCTCCTATTATAGGGAATTCTTAAATGAAGTGAAAAATATGTTGATTTATTAAAAAAAAATAGATGACGTTATGTACATGAAAGTGGTGACGTCATTAGTACAACCAATTGTAATGTAAGACGTGCAGTTGAAAATAAAAATTAACCTATTAAAATATTATTTGACAGAAAAATATCGAAATTAATCCAACTTATATGTCCTCACTGAATGTAATTTTCGCGTAAATTTGAGCCTCAAAATAAATTTGAAAGGCAATTATGCTCTATTTGCCAAATTTCGATGTTGAAAGGTAATGTGTTAAAAGTTCTTCAGTGCAATCTCTTTTTTTTCATGTAACTTGCTCAGAAAGAATCATCAACACCTATAAAAAGCTATTTAATACGATGTACAGAATGTTCAGGTGTACTTACTATGTAGAATATAGAAACAGTACTTATTATGAAGATTAATTTTGATATAAAAATTATTAAGTTTTGAAATTAAAATAATAAATTTTGAAATTCAAATGAAATTTTTTGTATATGACAAATTTGAAATACAACTGACGCATTTTAAAATTAAACTGATAGTTTTAAAATATATTTGATACTGTTTTAAATTAAATTGACTAATTTAAAATACAATTGATACTTTTCGAAATTAACTTAACGCTTTTTGAACTACAATTGGAAAAGGTGTAGTACACATTGTGTCCCAAATAGTACAGAAAAATACGAAAATAGTACCTACACAAATAGTAAATAAATATTACCTATACAAATAGTTGAAAATTAGGTTGATGAGCTAAAAAAAGGTCTCCTGTTGTAAAATTAAGTTGATGACCTAAAAAACGTTGTTGCTAAATGTTTCTCCAGGTTACCATCGCTGCAAAGTGGGAAACTACACAATAACTATCAAATAGTATATGTAATACACAAATGGTACAGAAATATTACATAAGTAGTACAAGATTTACACAAATATTACAAATTGCTTGTACACCAGTGGTTACTCCTCGATTTTCTATGAACATGAATATCTATGAAGGCCAGGGCTTTCTTTGATCCTGGTTGTCAAATTAGTTTCAAATTGAGTTCCTGGCAACTTTCATTGTTGAAATAATATACTTACTCGTATAAAATAGTTTTATAAAGATAATAGTCTATGTCTATAAGCTTTTTACTTTCCTATCTGTATACAGATATAAGGAAAGTATAGGAATCATGATTTTTTTCGACCTCGAGTTTTCGACGGATTTTTACGTTTTGAGGTCCCCTGAATCCGTTTTGACTATTTTCGCGATGATGTCTGTGTGTGTGTCTGTGTGTGTGTGTGTGTGTGTGTCTGTATAACGCATAACTCATGAACCGATACATAGAAAAACACCAAATTTTAAACTTAAGCTTTGTTTCAACGTCCAATGAGCTGATTAGATTTTGGGCAGAGTCGGAACATCTGGGGGGGTACTTTATAGGTGGTCATTTTTATATTTTATGGAATATATCTGTTATTTACGTTTGGAGAAGAAAATTCTTCAAATAAAAGTTACTTCTAATATAATTATCTATAATTTTTGTTTTATGCAAAATTTTCCTAAAATGGTCCGTATTCGAGAAATTTGACAAAATGTAAAAAAAATAATTTTTTATAAAAATTGTTCAAATAAAAGTTGTTTGTAATATAATTCTCTATAATTTTTATTCTATACATAATTTCTCTAAAATGGACCGTATTAGAGATATTTGAGAAAATGTGTAAATTTCGAATTTTGAAGAAAACTCAAAAACGGATAAAGAAAAAAACATTAAATTTTAAACTTAAGGATTATGTCGGCCTGACGTAAAATGATTAGATTTTGGACAAAGTCGGAACATCTGGGGGGGTACTTTATGGGAGGCCGTTTTTATATTTTATGGAATATATCTGTTATTAATGTTTGGAGAAAAAAATTGTTCAAATAAAAGTTACTTCTAATATTATTATCTATAATTTTTGTTCTATGTAAAAATTTCCTGAAATGGTCCGTATTCGAGAAATTTGACAAAATGTGCAAAATTCTGATTTTTATGAAAGTTTTTGAAATAAAAGTTGTTTGCGATATCGATCTCTACAATTTTTGTTTATACATGATTTTTCTAAAATGGACCGTAATGAAAAAATTGTAGGAAATTAAATTTTTCAGTATTTTCGTTTTCCATGAATATCTATAGAAAAATGTTTCAAGGTAGATGTATGTGGACAATGTATATATTTAGTTTATCCTCTAAACATTTATAGAGATGCTGCAATAGGTTGTACAAAATAACCGGAAAAACCTATAATATCTAGATAGGAAAGTCATGTGTTGGACACATCAGATTTTTTAATTTTACAACAGCATATTTTATTTACAATAAAAATGCTTTACCTCAGGTTCTGACATTCAAATATTCCCCATAACTGGATTATTTATATTAAGTAAACCCGTGATTAGAAATGAGATCTCATATGTAATAGTGCTGTGGGGCAACCCACCCTCTTCACCTTACAGATAATTTGGAAGAATTTTTTGAATTTCAAGATAAACATATTGTTTTGACAAAAATTTCTTTATGTATATCATATGCATTTTATATACAGTGTGTCGCATTTAAGATGAAGACACCCATATATTTTAACTATCTAAGTAAATACAGATTTGAAATTTTGCACAGTTATACAGGGTGATGGTTCATATTTTTTTTTAAGGTGAAGGGTGAGAAAAAGTCCTTTATATCTCACAAGGAAAGTCAATGTTTAATTGTTTAACAAAACATTGAGTGCGACCGGTTTCGAAGTGTCAATGATGGTTCATAGTTTTCAAGATACTCAACTGAAATTTAAATTTTAAACACGGCCTACTGCGAATCCACAAACAGGGTCAATTTTCGATATTTTTCTTTGCGTTAGAAATGTCAGAAAAAGTTATTTGAAAAAATTGTTTCGAATATTATTCTAAATCCACACACCAAATTTTATGACAAAATTCGCATTTTTAGTTTTTTTCATTATTTTTGCCAATACACAAAATTATTAAAAAAGGATTTTTTTTAATCGATAAACTAGTGTGCCATAGAAAAGATTTCACAAGTGTCAAATTATTCCTATTCATGGCACACTAATTTATGGAATAAAAAAAATCAACTTTTCATAATTTTGTCTATTGACCAAAATAATGAAAAAACTATAAATGCGAATGTTGTCATAAAATTTGGTATGTGGGGTTAGAATGATATTCGGAACAACTTTTTCAAATAACTTTTTCTGCTATCTCTAACGCGAAGAAAAATATCGAAAAATGACCCTGTTTGTGGATTCGCAGTAGGCCGCGATTAAAATTTAAACTCCAGTTCTGTATGACTGTGCAAAACTTCAAATCTGTATTAATTTAGATAGACAAAATATAGGGGTGTCTTCATCTTAAATGCGACACACTGTATACTCTGTTCCAATTAAGTATAACTACCTACTTTTCCTATATTACCTAATTTGTGTTGTTTTTTTAAACTGTACAAAAAGTTTAATTTTAAATATATTTGTATTCATTAATTAAAAATGAAATCAGCTTAAAATAAGTTTATTTGCCCTTGATTTTTTTATGAAATGAGATTTCAATAATTATTGTGGAATTGATTCTTAGTAAAATTATTTATAGTGTATATACCTAAACACTCCTTGAATATTATTTATGGTTTTCCTATTACACTTTAAATTATTTTTAACAACAAATATTTCTAAAAAGGGGAAATTTATTATTATACATCCAAACATTCTCTTAAGAAGTTGAATTATTATCATTTGAAAATTTTCAAGTTTTCATTATATTTGCGTGATACAGGTTTTATTGTTTTCCACAAATCTCAATCAAATACTTATATTCTTAAAAATATATTACCTTCTGCATTATAGT